TGAATAATTCACATTGTCATTGGCAGTCCAGGCATCATGTATATTGTAGTACAATAGTATTGTGTCCTTCATCTGTGGGATAGCTCTCAAGGTTCCTCTTGATATGACAGAAGTTGATTATTTTCAGAATACAACTGCAGGTCAGTGGCATTACCATTTCAGGGAAAACCATGCCTCTCCCTGTGAAATATCCTGACATCTGACCTGTATGTTCTTTCATCCTGATGTACTGGACTTACATGGTAGGCCTAGGTAAATTCTGTCATGGAGTTTATAAAAATGCCTGATCCATGTCCAATAAAGAGCTACAAACACTGGCAAAAGTCTGAGTTAGCAAAACTGAAACATCTACAAAGCTCCTGAATAGTTGTCAGGTCCTTCCTCCTGTCATCCTACACATGCTCTCTCCTGCCTATTATGTGTATTGGACCATATACAAGATCAAATTCCTAAGGAAAATTTCGGGTAGACAGTGAATTGTCTTTTTATTGGGAAACAGGACACTGTTCCACCTGAAAAGACATGGACACCTCTACTCTTCCAGTACATTTGCTCTCTTCCTTCTCCAGCCATATGCATCATCTCTTCTGTATTTAACTAATTTTCAATTCCTCATGGCCCACAATATATTATGCATCTTAAATCTGGATCATCTTCCCTCCTTAATCCCAACTGGACAGAGTATATTTATTCTTGAAAATTAGGCATAGAGCTAGCTGGCATGCAAAAACAGAATGTCTTTTTAGAAACTCAGTCTTCTCAGCTTTGGGGTGTGTGCAGCACTGCCTCTTCCCTTTGAAAGGAGCCAATTAATCCCAGAATGGCTAACACAATGTATGCTCAGTTTATGAGTCTCATTGGAACAAGGATTTGGCACAAGAACTTGGACTGAGGAATCCACTAAAAACTTGGCCTTCAAGGAGCTAGTACTGTTCTGCTTGTCCTGGGCATCTCAGAGGAAGAATGGAACAATTGCTGCACACAATTAATGTTCCACTGCTGTGTCCTGCCTCTTCCTCAGAAAGATCATCATTTCCTGGTATATCATGGCAAGAAAACATTATGCTATTTATGCTTTGTGTAAGTGATGGAACTGGGGAAGAGAAAAGAATTAAATCACTTCTCAGATTTAATTGTTTTTTGGCTAGAGGAGCTCTTTAAGCAGTTTGAGTTGAAAAAACTTGGCCAAAAAGAAGTAGTAAGTGTTTAACTGACAGGGTTCGTTAATAGTGTACAAGAATCACTTCCTTTCAATTTTCTCAAAGAGAGGATGGATGGATGGATGGATGGATGGATGGATGGATGACATCCTTGAAAAAGTCTGCAACCTCAAAATTTAAAACTGAACCAAGACAGTGCTTCCTATTGTAATGTGACAAGTAACTGTTCATCCACGCTGTTGACTTCTACCTGAACCAACAGTTTGCTGCAGGAATTGCAGCCTAGTGCTGAGCAAGGCCAAGATGGCCAGAAAAAAGCTAAACTATGCATTTTGCATAGATTCTCCTGAAAACTTGAGCTGCTTAATTCAAATATTTTATCTGATATTTAAGTTAAATGGTCCTTATAAAGTGCCTATCATGATCCGTGAACAATTTCTTGGTCTTTGATAATATACAAATTTCATGAAACAAGGATGTGGAGAGATAAAATTTCAGATTATCTATTTTGGGGCACCCAAAATCAAGAATGAGAGACTTCTGTATTCTGAAAATTTGTTCTGCTTAAAGAGTTTCAGGTTGAGCACTGAGCCTTAAGCCACGCCAAACCTCTTCTCAGTTTGGAAAACCTCATTCTGTATGTCCCAGTCATTGCTAAATGTATTGCTACCATTCAGCAGTCAGTGCTATTGCTGTTAAATAAAGTGAGACAGGGTGTCATTCTTAATTTGTTTGGGTTTTTTTTTTTTATTTTTTAAGGGATGGATTATATAAATTGCTATACTTGTGATAGAGCTTAAAAACTCTTCTCTTCTCTGTTCCTAGAGGTGTGCATGGTGTTTGAGACAACCTCAGGGCACAGGACTGTAGTGGCATTGAAAATGAGTACCTGATTTGGTACAGAAATGTCCTATTTGATACTAAACACTTCCTATTCTGGCAATTAGAAACCATAGTAGAGAGGCACTTCATGCACGACAGTAATAATTCTTTGGAAATGTAAATTGTGCGACAGGGTGGCTTGACTCATGTTCAAATCACTTCCTTAATGATGAAACCCCTGCCAGCCTCATATAGTTATTATACATTAAAATAGAATATTTTCGACAGACTTGGTTAGTTTTGAGTATAGAGCCTAGTCATTTACTTGAAAAAATCAGCAGCTAGTCATACCAATTTGATATACTTTTCAATGCTGGCAATGACAATAGGCAACATAATTTTAAAAATAAATTTCATAAAAGAATTTGCCAGTTTCTTTATCGAGACAAAAATTAGTCAAGGGAGTTACTCGCAAGGGGAGAATTCAATGTTGGAACATTTAGATGTTCTGCAGCCTGGTTATATTCAGAAATCCAAATCAGCTTCTCCTAGTCAGAATGCAGGGAGATGCATTATCGGGGTTCAGAAAAACCATCACTTCCCTGGATGCAGTGGCCTTTTCTTGGGGGCTTCTCCTTACACTTGGCTCTCAGCTAAAGGGAGGGACTTCTCCCAGCTGAAGATTGCAGCCAGAATCCTTTTTTTTTAACAGGGACTTTCTGTTTTCGAAATCATAGCAGTCTTTGTGTTTTTAGGCCATGGCTGAAGATGTTCATATACAGTGAAAGCCACCACAGTCACTCAAGTGATAGGCCACAGCACTTACTCTGGCTGGGCACTACAGAGTGTTCCTCCAGTCTGTAGAGTGTTAAGGCTCTTTTATTTCCTCATGTTAAAATGTGTCCCTGTTGCCCAGAGTTTGTTTAATAGTCATAGTGCAGGGGATGTGTGAAGGAATGGCTCTGCAGCCCCAAGCATGCCTGGGCTTATGGTTGCTGTATGGTACTGACACAAAAATTATTGTATTTGCATGGCAGGATGTTTTTTCATGGGTATTTAATCTTTATGTGTCTTTCTACAGCTCCTGTAAGCAGAAACTTTAGAAAAAGGGCATAAATCTGATTAAGAAAAGCATTCACATCTGTTTAGTCCAGGTTTATGTAACTGGAAAGCACATTCAGTATTTGGACTAAATTACTCTAATTTCTTACTGTTTAAATTAAATGGTAAATTTTAAAAATAAAAAATAAGTGAATGCCAGTCTTTCCAATGATGTTTTCAGACCAACAGATATTTCTGCAAGGAAATAATAGAAATTCTGTTATATGGACTTTTTAATTCTTAGTACAACCGATATGTAGTATAAAGCCATTCAGGCATCCGTACCTTCTCTCTATGCATATCCACTTTCCCCATTAATGAAAGTTACACACAATACAGGTGGCTTTTTGCTAAATTTCTAAGACTTGATTCCTTATTTCATTCTTGGCAGTAAACCAATACATAATTATCTGGGGAAAAAAGGCATAAAAGAAAATTTCAGTCTGAAGTGAAACTCTTGTGATAAAAATACCTGTTTGTTTTTTCAAGAGTGCCATTACCTCTGATCTACTTCTGTAGAGGTAGTACAGTAGTACACAACAGTGTACTTCTGTTGTGGGCTGACCAGGCAGCTGCATGACTGCACACTGGAATTGCAAGGGAAGGCATTGCAGTAAACAGCACAGATGACAACCAGTAGTTTATGAATAATCCCCAACGTGGTGCTGAGTGATGCTCTTAGCTGTCTGTTCTTCATGTCAGAAGTGGTCAAGATCTCCATCAGCCACCACCTCTAAGAGTCCCATAGCATTTTGCATGAAACTAGACATTACTGTGATTTCATTTCCATTCAAAATACACTCTCCGTGATGTTTATGGCTATACTGAGACAGAGTCTCTTCTGAGAAGGACAGTAGAGATCTTTTTGCATTTCAAGGGACGTGTTTTAATCCCCTTGGGGGTTTGCGATGCAAATGTCCGTTAAATTTATTGCAGCTTACAAGAAACTTACAGCTTCTTCCATTTATGCATCTGTGTAAGTGCCAACAAGCAAAAGGCACTTAAAAGGTTTACTGTAGTCCCAACAGCCAACAACATCTGAACATTTCATAGTGAGACACAGAAATAAGGCAGGTGGCCAAGAGCACATATGGCAGCAGTGACATAAACATATGGAAATTACACTTGAAACATGAAGTGGGTGGGTCATATTTACTTAAAAAAAAAAAAAAAACAAAAAAAAAAAAAAAACAAAACAAAAAAAAAAACAAAACAAAAAAAAAACCTTGGATTTTAGGGGCAATGCATTTTCTGAACGAGGAGGATTCTTGCATATGTATGCCACTGAAGATTTTGTGAAGTATAAGTTGTGGTCTGTTAGGAAGAACAGATGGGGCACCAGCACACCTTTAAAAAACAAAAGTCTATCAAAGCCATCAGTATTTCTGAGTGCAGCATCTTTAATCCGTGAGATTGTTGGTTATGTGCTGTTTTGCTTCTTGCCCACTCACAGAACGAGTATGTACTTCTGTGCCAGGGCTCTCAAAGGCTTACAGCTCAAACTTGATGGCTTAAATAGAACTCTGAGAGGGCTGGGCAGTGCAACAGCGTCCAGGCTGGGCTTTGGGAACCCTTAGCCTCAGGAATGCTGTGTGACCTCTGCCTCTTATTGAGTGGGTGAATGGAATGAGCTGTAGCCTGGGACTTATACTGAAAGCACTTCAGTAGCTCAACCTTGTCAGCTTCCTTTGCTTGACTAAGCTTCAGTGAACAAAAGAAATGAAAACCTCAAGGACTTACATTTAGATACAAACTGCATTCCTGCACTTCTGGTTGCCAACAGAATGAAAGCAAAGCAGAATTTCCTTCAAAAAAACCAAACTCTTTAATAAAATACATAGGTTCACATTCTTCCTTGTAAAGTACATTACCTGAAGTACAATAGCTGACTACTGTGAATTGGGGTGTGAAGATTACCTTTTTCTCTACCCACTGTTCATGTTCAGGTTTATCAGAACTTCCAGTGAAGATATTTCTTCCTGCAGAACTGCAAGCTAAAAAGAATCAAAAATCAATGGTAGTTTTGCATCCCCTAAGTTCTGAAGCAATACGTTACAGATAATATGTCTACAATGTATCACTCACCTCCCATAGCAGAGAGAAAAAAGATGTCCCTTACCTGATGCATCAGTGCAGAATTTCAGAATGTGAGTCGTGCTTTGGCCACTCAAGTTTAGAGTTATCTAAATGGCAGAGATTCTGTCATCTTCCTTAAGCAACCTCTGCATTCATGTTAAAACAATCTGCTGCTACTCAAAGTTTTTCTCTGTTAACTTTTATGCCATTGCTATTGCCCTGTACTACCTACATCAGTCTTTTCCATTGCTAGTAGTCCCATTTTGATAGTAAAATTGCTCTGAAAACACTGGGATTTTTGTCTGGCCTTTTATTTTACACACGTATTTGCAGGTCACAGTTAATGAACAATTATCATTTTGCCAGCTGCTCTCCTAAGACTCTGTCCATACGCCTGCCAAAATTAATAGCAAAGTCTGTCGGGTACAACAGTGGAGAAGCAATCCTTTGTTAAAATCAAGCCTGCTACTATCCTAGGTATTTTCCAGGAGCAAGATCCTGAATTCCAATAATGTACTGTCCATACAAAAAAAACCCCTAAACTATTCCTGGGATCACTGTTACAATAATGGCAGAATTAAGCCTTAGGCATGTAACTGCTTCACCAGATACAAGGAAAACATATTTAACCTGTAAAGTTCATGTCTTAATCATAGGAGCTGAGATTGCTATCGTGGGAGGGAGCTAAAGAAAACACATACATTATTTTTCTGGCTGTTTATTTTGAACACTTGGCAGCCTTTTGTGAATAGTTAGCATAATTTTTCCCTGGTCTTACTCTTTCAGAAAGGTCAAAAGGAAAGGAAACCTTCTTAGAAAGACATATAGACAAATATACACCATACCTATAGAGGGGTCTAAATAGGTTATTCGGAGTATTTTGCCAGGCCCGTGACATTAAACTTGCCAACCCCTTCTTACAGTCACAGCGCTCACTCTGGAGGGGGACAACGAGATGAGAGGGGGAAGCCCAGCGCCCATTTTCGCGACGCCGAAGATGCCGCTACTGTCACCCCGTCCTGCCCGGGCGCGCCGTGCCGGGGTTCCCCGCGCCCCGTGTGAGACACCGCCCTGCCACGTCCCGCAGCTCCGGCGGAAACCTGGCAGCCTCTGGGGAACTCAGTCGCAGCACAAGCTGCCGCCCACCCTCCGCGCCCCGGCGGCCGAGCGGCCCCACTCGCCGCCTTTGTGTCCGTGTCCGCGGCCGCCGCCCCTTCCCCGCGGGCGGGGCGGAGCGGAGCGGGGCGGGGCGGGTTCGCGGCGCCCATAAGAAGGGGCCCTGGCCGCAGCCACCGCCCTTCTTCGCCGCACACCCTGGTCGCCCCGCTCCGCTCCCGGATTACAAAGCCCGCGCTGCCGTCGCTATGAGCATCAGCACGAAAAACTCCTCGTACCGGCGCATGTTCGGCGGGGGCAGCCGCCCCAGCACCGGCACCCGCTACATCACGTCCAGCAGCCGGTACTCGCTGGGCAGCGCCCTGCGGCCCAGCAGCGCCCGGTACGTGTCCGCCTCGCCCGGCGGCATGTACGCCAGCAAGACGACGTCGGTGCGGCTGCGGAGCAGCATGCCGCCCATGCGGCTCCACGACTCCGTGGACTTCTCGCTGGCCGACGCCATCAACTCAGAGTTCAAGGCGAACCGCACCAACGAGAAGGTTGAGCTGCAGGAGCTTAATGACCGCTTCGCCAACTACATCGACAAGGTGCGCTTTCTGGAGCAGCAAAACAAGATCTTGCTGGCCGAGCTGGAGCAGCTCAAGGGCAAGGGCACGTCCCGCTTGGGCGACCTGTACGAGGAGGAGATGCGGGAGCTGCGGCGACAGGTGGACCAGCTCACCAACGACAAGGCACGCGTAGAAGTGGAGCGGGACAACCTCGCCGACGACATCATGCGGCTGCGGGAGAAGTGAGTGTGCCTGGGGAAGGCGGGTTCGGGCTGCCGCCGCATCCCGCTGCCTCCCCGCCGCCCTGTCCCCTGGCGCGGAGGCAGCCCCTGAGCATCCCGAGCGGTACCGGGCGGGCCGGAGGCTGGGCGGGGGGATTTGGGAGATCCCCGCTCCCTCCTCACCGCCGTCTTGCCCCTTCTAGGCTGCAAGAGGAGATGCTTCAGAGGGAGGAGGCCGAGAGCACCCTGCAGTCCTTCAGACAGGTTAGCGGCGGTGGAGGAGGGAGGGGCCCGAGGATGTGGTGGCTGTGCCTGGGGCGGAGGGTGGGAGTGCAGGAGTTTGCTTTCCTTGCACAAAGAGGGTCCGTCAGTTCTCACGCAAGCCCTCCGTGTTTTCTTTAGGGGGATGCTGCAGTCTGAGGGGAGGGGAGGTAAACTATTGTCCTGCTTTATCCAAGTCTAGCCCGTTTTACAAAAACCATCCCAACGTGGAATCACTTTCCGATCCAATAAAAGTGAAAGGGGGCCATCTGCTCGCTTGGCTGAAGGGTATTAATGGTTTCTATGGGATTCACCATGGAATGCAGATACAGGCATTATGGCAAGTGTGGTGGCAGCAGATTGAAATAATAGATCCCTTTGTGTCGGAGGGGAGGGCGCAGTGGGCTGCATTCTTACTAAATGTGTAATGGTGCGGGAATATTTCTAGCGAAATGTGTCTCTTATGGGCCAGTTTTTGTACAAAGCAGAACTCCTTTTTGATGAATCACTGGTCAGTGCATTACTGGGCAAGAGTTTCAAATTTAAGGTTTTTTACCAGGGCGTTGTCTGCTGATGAGAAATAGACAATATGTTCCTTGGGACGAGGTCACAGGCTTGAGCTTGACCCACTCCTCTGGGTGTCCATTAAGAACGTGGAATGTAATCCTCTGTAAAACAAAGATGTTAAACTAGGAAACAAGTTATGTTAGAGTTCAGCCTTTGTAGGATGCTGTGATGTTATCCAGACAAAGTAAATCTACATGACAACCAGAAACAACTGTGCAAACAGTGTTCTAAAATTCTTAAGCTCAAGTTTTCACTTGTGCAAAACCAACTTTCAACTTAGATTAAGCCTTGTTTGGACTAAGAGATAGTTAGGAATGTGCCTTCTCAAAACAAGGTCTCTTCCCTAAAACTCCTGGTGTAAAACAGCATTGCTAGCATTCTTTCAGACTGGAAGTGACTGCCCTTATCGCCAGGCAGCTGGGTACAGGCTGACTTTGTCTCAGAGCTCTTCATAGGCAGTAACAGAAGTCACTGTTCAGGAAATCAGCAGTTGATTGTTAGCATTTCCCTGGGAAAGGCTTTTGTCTGCAGTATATTTACAGTCTTTGAAGGAGAGCAGGTGTGTTCAAGAGATAGTGTGGGGAAACTGAAACACCTACTCCCATTCAGAGCCTGGGAATTCAGTCTCCACTGGCATTCTGGAGACAGAAGTTTTAAACAACAGTCTGAGATACTGCCTAAATTTAAGCTTATGGGTTTTGTTGGTGTTTTTTTTTTTGTGTGTTTTTTTGGTTTTTTTTTTTTTTTTTGAGCACTAAGACCATTTAATGTAATGTGAAATTCTATGAAGGAGCATTTAAGTTTTAGAGAATCTCATCTACTCTGATTCATTGCTGAATTCAGTTGAAGGATCAATTGACTTAAGGTTGGCTTTTACAAGATCTTTCATGTTTAATTGGTGCACTTCAGGCATGTCTGTATTTCAATCCAGTTGAATCTTATGGAGGCTCTGGGCTTAAAGTGAGCTTGGATTGGTGTGCATACCCTACACTCATTATCCAGCTCTTCCCTGTATTTGGAAAGGGGTCACTCAGAAGCTCAGCCTCCAGCAGATGTGTGCATGCAGGACAGTCAGAATTGGACCCATTTAACCTCCTAAGCTGTAGCTTGTGCATAAGAAATGCAAATCATTATCTATGGGAACTCTACACTAAATGCACTCATGACATAACTGGTGCATGCTGGTGTGCTTGATTTGACCATCAGTCATACCTAATTTTTCCTTACTGGCAAGGAGGGAGTTAACACCGGTTTTGAAACCTAAATCTGTTTCAGTGCAAGTTTTGTTCTTCTGAAAGTGAAATTAAATTCCCAGAACACTGAAGCTGAAATATCCTGTTGTGCTTTCCATTTTAAAGCAATGCACAGCTTTCTATTAAATTATTGTATTTTTCCACTGGAAAGTTGTATAGTTGTATAGATTTGGATCAGTTCAGTAGGTGCTTTGCTGTTCTGATGTATCATCAAAGACACTTTTTACTTGATGGAGCAGCTGTGTGCTTCAGTATTTTAAAATAAAGAACGAATATTTGAACTTAAGCTTTTATTCCCAAAAGCTGCCTGTTTCAGAGACTGTTCAGCTCATATGTACTGAATTTTAATTTATTTCTTCTGGACAAAGATATGATTTTACTCATGTGCTGAGGGATGTACTGCAGAGACTACATGTGCAAGTTCACTGAGGACTTTCCTCTAGCAGCAGGACAAGCATCACAGTGAGAAAGTTACTGCAGCTTTGCCAGCTACTCTAGCAGTAAGGAATAGGTCCTGAACCTGTGACAAGCCTAAGAGGTCAGGTCCTGGCTAACATGAGGTTTGTCTAAAGTAAACATATATGCTCAACCCTGCAAAGTATGTGGCTTGCATTGAAGAATCTCCTAGGATAAAATCCATGTGTTCTCCAACGGCATGTATCTACGACTTCTACTTGTTTGTTCAGACTACAAGTAGCCAATTCATTTATGGGGTTCTCCACGCATCTGGGAACTACTGAAACACTGAATTTTAGTGATAGGGAATACATAAATGATAGCATATAGTAAAGTACATAGCACATATTGTAACTTCAATTTAAATTGCTTTCAATTTATTGTAAGGTCCTAAAATCCTGTAGCTATTCAGTTGTTATTTAAAAAAAAATAGCCTTCAGGGTGAAGATTTCTGCAAAATCCTCTGGAAAATCTTTGGATGTCTGGCCAGTTATGTAAACATGTTGGGTCATAGCCATGTAATTTTCTGCCAGAATGATCATGAGGGGTTTTGGGGGGAGGAGAACAAATTAATTAGGAAATTCTTTTCCCTGAACTGAACTGAAAAACAGAGCTGATATGAACTGTGGGGGTAAAACTGGAATTGATAGAAAAGTTATGGAATGATGAATGAAAGGGATATTTTGCTGGATAAAGTAAACAGAATAATTCTTCTGGAACAAGGACCTTGCCCCAGAGTAGGGGTGATCCAAGGAAAGGCTTTCTAGGAGTCTAAAGAAAACACTCCTTATTTCAAAGGTGCCATAATAGAGAGAGCTGCTGATTAGGAATGCTTATGCTTTGGGCAATCCAAAATAGCTTTAGAGTAAGCTGTGAGAACCTGATATGTTAATACCCTGTGAGCACAAGCATGTGGCTGTGTATGTAACTAGCGTGAAAGAAACAATCTTCCCCTTTGCAAACTAAATGCCTTACACATTCAAAATGTAAGAAGTTGCCAATCAATGTTTAGTCCTATGTTTTTGAACTAATTCAAGTTGTTCCCTTATAACATTCGTGACGTGTCTTCTGTTATGCTCTAAATGAATTTTTGCTGTTGATTAAGACTATCTCTGTCCAGCAAAAGGTGGAGCCTTTGCCAGCAACTGCGAAGGGTGTAGGCAATGATGAGTAGCTCAGTTTGTGTTTATGCTCACAACCTTCTTTTTCTCAAGGGAGATCTGTTTGCCTGCATTGTGAATACTGCAGTTCTTATGCATCCCTCACCAGCTTTACAAGTATGCTTTAAAAGTGTGGTCTGTGGGCCTAAGGGGCTCTGTGCTTTTTCACCGAGGAGTCCATAAGTTAAGCCCACTGACAGGCCTGACAGCACGTGTTGCACTTTTAAGCCCCACTGAAAAGAGTGGAAGTTTGCAAGGTGCAACTCTTTGTCAGTGTAGTCAAGCTAGAAGCACTTAGTGTAGACTTCTGACTCAAGTACTTGAAGGATTTACACTCACTATGATCTGTGTGCTCTTGATCATGCTTAGCAGCAGTTCAGCAAAGATGTAATCAACATATGTGGTATAGTTTTCAAATTCACAATAAAGGTGCATATCTAAGGTTGAAGGCTAAGGTAGGAGGTGGCAAAAAGGTTTTTTACAGCCTTTAATTTCGTATTGTCTTGCCAAAAAGCTCAGCTGTAGCATCAGCCTGTATGCTGCTGAACTTGCTGTAAGAGACTTCTCTACATCAGTTTTGTAAGATT